TATATATATATATATATAGTTGAGAATAATTAAATTAAAGTTATGACATAAACAGCACGTTAGTGACGAATAGAGTATCACATGAAAGTAATTTCTCATTATCTAAAATCAAACATAAGTGTTGATTATGTAATTTGATGCAAATGTTTTTTATGACAACATTTAATGACTAGACATGGTAACGGCACACTCGAGTTATATCAACTTATTTTATACCACCACCAACGCAGAGGACGAATACATACAGGACAAGACAATCTCATTTTCACTTGAGTTAAGTGAGGTGTAAAGTGCATTTCCCAAAGGCATAAGATCGGTGGCATGTCAGGGCTCCAACTCCCGACCTCATGGTTTCGAGTCGAGCAATCTGCCGTTACGCCACACGACCCCAAGTAACGTGGCAACGTTGAGCGTGCACAATAATGGATTGTAGTATGATAATATATATACCTGAAGAGTTGAACACTGGAGGCGACATTTGCCCCACAGTCGAGGAAAAATTTCCTGCGGCTATGATTTGTTGTCTTCAACGTCTTTTTTATGGGGACATGACTGGTTTCAAACCTGTAACACAAGGAGAGGAAGAAAAGAAAATATGATCCAGATTTATTTGATAGATTTTATTCATTGACAATACTGCTTACTAATTGAAATTTAAAGACAAAAGATATTGACAGTGATTATTGAAGAAAATTTCAACTGGTACACTAGTGTACTGTAGGTTTCCTTTGTTGGTCGGTGACACTTAAAAAAAACAAAAATAAACACTACCATCTGTCATTTTTACCGAACATCCCGATATATTTTATGGCCCCCGCATGGCACTACAACTACATGCTTTCTTGTAATAATTTACAGTGATACATAGATTGATGCATGACATACATGTATGTACACACGGAGCAGCGGCTTGAAGGAGACTGATGTCTACAATACATGTCTACTTAGTTAATCAACAACACAGCCCTACTCCTTACACAAATCATATTCTAATTATTCACGTTGCTGTCGCCCTTAATAAACATCTCTGTCAAAAAGTGAAGGGGCAAAAGTCCTTCCCAGTTATTGTCATGATGTCAATGCTTAACATGTTTAAAAATCTTTTTTCTTTGATAGCCAAGGGCATTAGGAAGTATTAACGAAGAATATGGCACCGCGGCAGCTCCATATATGCTTTATATGTTATGAAATATCCTGGATTTAACCTTTATTACATGTAACAATTTTGCTGTAAAATGGCAAAATGGTGTACATGATGACGGTTGAAAGAATCCTTTACGTGTTTCCACAATGGCGATAAACTGCACACCGTTAACCAAGGAGGTATAAATTGCCTTGTGCTAAACATTTTTCGGCGCTAGTTTTGCGTCTATGGATACCATTGCTTAGAGAGACTAAGACAGTGAATGTCTACTTAGAAATCCAGTACAATTTTTCTTACTTTGTGACGAATTTGCGACTCCGACACTTGGCCAGTTGAGACTGCAGATCGATGCAAGAACAGTTCCCCACCACTCTCAGCTTCAAAGGACAGCCCGGTGCAGTTGGAGCCACGATCGGGTAGCCGTTTCCGATAAGTTGGGAAATAAGCAGTCCGGACAAAAAAGACAGCAAAGCGATCATCGCGCGCTTACCGCTAGGCGCCATGATTTCAACTGTTATACAAAATGTATTGTAAAACACAGCAAAGAATAACCACGCGGAAGGTGTTGGCACAAAATAGTGCGAAACAAAAAATCTTCTGCAAAGTGCCAGCCAAACGATAGGGACGAATGAATTGAAATAAGTAGACGAGATTTCATTGAAAATGTTACCATTTTCAACATTTCAGAGATCTGGAATGTTTGAAAGTGTTTTCTTGATTTAGTTGTACTTGGAATTTCCTGGTGAAGAGGCCGAGTTTTACTTGATCACTGCGCGTGCAGGCGTGGGTAAGGTTGACCAACACGGAAACAAAAGGACTTTGTGTTTCTCTATAGCCCTCTTAGGCTGTTCAAATATGATTAAAATCAAGAGATGAAGACAAATTACTACGGTCTGTTGCCCGGTGTCACAGCGATTTTGCCTGTGATTTCTCCCCCACTGGGAACCCTTCCAAACAGAAGTTTGAAAGGTCTAAAGAGAGTTCTGTACATCCAAAATATTACTGCAACTTAGGGTTGGAGCTTGCTCGCGAAATATAAAGTGCGTGTGTTTGTTTGTTTGTTTGTGTGTGTGTGTGTGTGTGTGTGTGTGTGTGTGTGTATGTGTGTATGCAGTTTAGTTTTTATCACGAAGGGTTTGTTCAATGCAGTGAAGACTGGATGTAGAAAACCAAACTTGTTCAGCCTTTGCTATTATGAGATCCACACAGTGAAGCCCCGATCACACATTCACGGACTTTTCACGAATTCTTTCCCGAACACCAGCCAACAGCCAATATAGATGTATTTTTTTTTTCAGTACCATATTTATTCACAGTTGGAGTGAACCAAGCGACATGTTCGGAGCTCCATGAATTGTTGTCGCAAAAGTAAGCAAACATTTAACATTCACACTGAAACGGTAAGTAATATTTCAGGGCTGGCATACCGACACGACCTTTATTTACACGACTGTGTGAAAAAAAGAAAACGTGTCAGCGTGCTGTTGAAACTTGTCAACAATGTCATGACTCCAATTCAAGTTAACAAACATGCTACTCATTTTCCCCATACATATATTCTGTACATAGGATGACGTTATTCATACAATGTATTTAGCTTTGTTAGATCTTAAGTTGTAGAAGACCATACAAAAATTCCTACGCTTTTTGTTGAGTCCATAACGAATCGTCTTCCTCGTCTATTGTTAACAATAGTACTATTTGTCAGCTGTAACATTTCAGTTGCAAACAAATAAGACTCATACTCCCGCAATGCAGTCTTCTATCCTAACTAACTGGAATCCGGAATTCTCCACCAGATAGTCCAGGAGGAATACGGAGTTCATGTAGCTGTCGGGATGGTCTGAGTCCAGGACCAGAATTCCCCCTGTTTTTCCCAGGGCGCTGCTGATGATCCGTAACGCCTTGGGAACCCGTTCCACGTCTCTGAAGCGGTAGTAGTTCTTGTACGTCAGGAGGGTCCCTGGGAATGGATGCCGTGCTGTACGTTAGTCTAAAAACGTTTCCGATTTACACTACTATCTGTTGGTATCGTAGAGCAAACAGAAGTAAACAAGTTTATAACACCAGTAATTACATCATCTGACAAAGTATGATAGTATATAATAAGTCGATTCGTAACAACGAAAAGAACACAAGTTCAAATACGGGATGTGCCAGTTTCCCAGTAAGAAATTATATTGAGCTTTATCAAGTCGGTGTGTTGAATGAGATTACATAGTACATCACTACATGTATACAATTGCTATGATGTTCATGTCAAAGCAAAAGTCAGAAAAACACGTGATGCTGACCATGATTGCTACTTTGTCAAAAGGTTTTATTTGTAACTTAAAGAAATGAATGAAAAGAAACGGATGTGTTTCGCTTAAATTCAGTTATACCGACTGACTAAGACATGTACAAATAGACATAAAAATCTACTCTACCTGATGCAGGTGGAAATGCGACAGTCGGCTGTACAATTCGTAGGTCCGTTTTTTTAGCAACATCTTTCATTTGGTCGTTGACTTTCACTGGTAGGTAGTAGGCTGGCTGAATGTCAAGTTCCTGTAACCTAAAATAATAGAAGGCCGCAATTAAAACTCATCGGATCATAGTTTTCAGTTACATATCAGTCCATGTGTGCAAAGATATAAACATTTGTGGAGAAAACACTTCTCTGGACATTATAAGGTTGATACATATACATATGATATCAATGTTTCAGTCGTACAAAAATAGAAATGTTTTAAGAGAAAGAATTAGTACCTCAGGACACTCATGATGAGGTTGGTGCGAATCCAGTTGGGATGTACCATGTCGAAGTGTCCGGGTGGGTAGGGGTGTCCCTCTCGGACTCCGATGGTGTGGTTGATGGACCAGTGCAGCACCATATCTGGAAACAGCTCTGCAAAGTCGCCGTGCACAAACAAACTAGAAAACACAGACACTGTCTAGTAAATCTTGAGACTGTACTTACAGCACAGGCTACACAAAGGGGGTGGGGTGGGGGCAGCAATCGTGATCAGGAGCCTCCTGTGCAGACCTCCGGGCAGGTACAAACCTTCTCTGGGCGGCTGGTTGTAAGATGGTCGGCAAAAGAACGCGTTAAAAATTCTACAAAACGCAGTATCAAAACTCCCACCCGCCCGGAGGACTGCACAGGAAGCTACGTGATCAGCGTAGTGACTCTGTAGTCAGTACAAAACAAAGGGAAAAGTTTTTAACCCAATAGAATTCTAACTTTAGATGTCTAACATTAACAACAAGATTATTTTTCACTAATTTTAGTCTCGAGTATCTTTAGGTTTCGCTTACCTGAGAGGGATGTGCGATGGGTAAGCTTGGATGGTGTCGATCAGCCTGTGGGCCATCTTGGCGTTCATGCCGATCTGCACTACCAGGGCTACCCGGGCGGGAACGGACGAGTTGCTAGGCCCGCAGGAGGTATAGACATTACCTGCAGACCCCGGAGTCTCGGGTGGGACCTATGGTAGTATTTTTTCATAAACTCAAGGGAAGACATGTGCCGATTCGTCGATAGATGCAGTCCTGTCTGTATTAGTAGGTGATTGAAAAGTTTGAGAAATCACAAGCGAAGCGCACTTTATATCATTTTTATTTTAATCAAAAAGAGATGTACATGTATGACCTTCTTCAAGAACCAGACACATTCACTTTTTACACGTGATCTCGCGGATTCATGATATCATGCAGTGCAGTAGTGGTGAGTCAAAGATACCCGACAGAAGTGTTTATATTTTAGGCCACGACTGAATGTGCTATTGCATGGTGGTGCCATGACATTATACTTTGTTGCACGTTATGTTGACTCTAACCTGTGATTTGTGCAGTTTGTCCATATCTCCGTACTTGTGCGTCTCTGCCGCCCAACTGACTTGGTTTATTTTGTTTTTCTTCAGATCCTCCTTCAATTTGCTCTTTTGCTCTTTACTCCAGCCGACTGGTTGATCTGGGTGAAACTCCCCGTAAAACCTTAAGATAAAGCATACAGTAGCTGTGAACAAATTTGAGAGTTCGGAAGTTTTCCGTTGGGTGACTCTGGTTGTCTGGTTGGTGACTGTAGTCAGAGCTTATCTATCGCGAATCTAACAGAATTAAAATGAGACGGGATCTACATAGGCTGCGTTTTACCACCTAGTGTTCCCCCAAGCAGCATTCATCTCCAATGAATTTACCTTTGTCATGATAATAACATTGGAAGGATACTTACTTATCAATCCAGCGAAATGTGTTTTCTTGCAGCATTTTCTTCAGTATGGTGTATTCTGCTCCCTCCACGTCCAGCTTGAAGACTACATGGAAGAAAGTCGCTCTTAATCTTAAACTTAAACTCATAAAACACGTCATCGATAAAAACGTAAATGTAGCTCAATGTTCAATGAAGCCCCCCCCCTCCACATACACACACACACACATGTATTAAAGAACTTTTGCTCGGAAGGATCGTTTTTGATTTTGACTTTCACTGTTCTGGTGACGTATTCAGCTGACGATTACGTTTCGCTTATGGATGGCACCCACAATCACAAACAGAAGGAAATGTAAAATTATGTACTTATGTGGTCGTCTATTGCGAAGTTCCGCTGTATCCACTGTGACAGGTCAACTGTGGGTACGGTCTTGCGGTGGGACAGCTTTCTCTTTCCTCCAGAAACATTGTCTTTTTTCTCCTTTTCGTCCACGTAGAGTGTCCCCCCTCCCCACTGCATGTCTATGTTGTTGTTCTTCCCTTTATCGGGAGCCCAGGCAGACTCCGAAAATGCCGTCATGGTGCCTGGAAGGGAATAACACGAAAAAATCTTTGATCTATTAACTGAACATGTGTTAATAATCTACAAAGTTCAAGTCGTGTCATTTGTATAGTACTAGTGTGTCATTGTAAGTGAAATATTTATCTTAATCTTAAGGAACATATGGATAATGAGCTTTCGTCAAACAATGAGTCAACATGAGTCAACATTGTCAACTCGGTAGTGCCCTACTTCGAACATTCTCAGCACGGGCACGTTTTGCCACTTCCACTGAAGCAAATCACCCTTTCTTCCCCTACACACCACCTCTTACAGCTGTAGGAGGAAGTTCCACGCTGATAGCTTTTTTCCTACAACATCACCATGGAACAAGTTACCACGTGGTTGTTTCCCAAATGGGTATAACATTAAACTTTTCAAGTCTAAAGCCAAACATCTGTCCTTACTATCTAGTACATTTGAGTGGCTCTCATGAGTCTTGTTTTGCGGTGAATATGAAGTAGATGAAAAACATGAGTTTAAAGAAGATACATATACATCCAACCATGATCTAATATTCTATGATCTTCTTCAAACCTGCAATCAATTAGATGTATGTTTTAAATTCAACAGTTTCAACAAATAAGCCGGTTTACCGTCGTTGTCCGAGACAGCCACTGGGCAGTGCAACACGTGGTCAGGATATGGTGCAAAATACGGAGCCAGCCGTTCGTCCAGCTCAAAGGAGTGAATGACATATTCATGGCCGTTAGGATACGTCTCTCTGTGGGGAGATCGCAAGGTAGAAGTTTAAGGTTCATATTGCTTCATCACAAGGTAGAAGTTTAAGGTTTATATTGCTTCATCACAAGGTAGAAGTTTAAGGTTCATATTGCTTCATCACAAGGTAGAAGTTTAAGGTTCATATTTCTTCATCACAAGGTAGAAGTTTAAGGTTCATATTGCTTCATCACAAGGTAGAAGTTTAAGGTTCATATTGCTTCATCACAAGGTAGAAGTTTAAGGTTCATATTGTAGGGTCAAAGGTATCTGTCGGCCCCGTACACTGGACACTGTAAGAATTTTTTTACACTAAACAAGACTATTTCTTGATAGGGGTGAAAGAGGCTATTAACATCAGGACCATCACCCTTTACTCAACCGCGACGGGAGCCGACATCGTCTACCAGATACCTTTGACCCAGTGTTGACGTCACACTTCAAGGAAGCCACGTGACAAGCCTCACCAAAATGACTGGTCGAAAGCTCTAGGTGAGAGAAGTTTATTGTGTCGGATCAAAAGCTTTAACTTTAAACATGTAGCTACCAACACAGATGAACTTTCATGATAGAACAATGACTTTTAGTATAATGATATAGTAATGATAACCCGTTCGTGTTCTTATATGTACAATTTAAGTTTCAAAATAGTTAAGGAACTGAAAGAAAACTACCTGAAGAGTTGAACACTGGAGGCGACATTTGCGCCACAGTCGAGGAAAAACTTCCTGCGACTATCATGTTTTTTCTTGAATGTCTTTTTCATGGGAACATGGCTGGTTTCAAACCTGTAACACAAGGAGAGATAGAAGAGAAAAACATAAGTCAGATTTAGCAGACGTTATTTCATTGACGATATTGCGAACTAGTGTAGATTTCAAGAAAAACATAGACAGTAGTTATTGAAGAAATCTTGAAGAAGATCCGCCAAAGCTGTTCTCGGTCCCTGTCGGGTTTTGCATTTCCCGGAACTGGAATCGAACCGATTCGACCTTTGACCCTTCGACTGCGTGCCTTATTGGGTTAAGTACAAGGCCAGGGCAAAGGTATATAGTTAACGTTACATATTTACATATTAGGTGTATATGTACATATTTACAAGTTTGGTTTTCTTTAGCCAGGGGCATTAGAGACCTGGCGGTAACTACGGAGAATGGCACCGCGGCAGCTGCATATATATCATGATATATCCTGGATTTCACCCTTTATGTGTCAAACAATTTTGCTGTAAAATAATATGGCAAAGTGGGGCACATGATGAAGGCGGCACGACTGGAAGCAATAACAAACAATATGGCGATACTAAACTTCTTTGCGCTAACATATGTCTTGGCTTGTTTTGCGTCTAGAGCTACCATTGCCTCCTCGAAGAAAATTAAGAGTGTTTAAGACGGTGAATATGTGCATAGGAATTAAAGTTCGTCTTACTTTGTGACGAATTTGCGACTCTGACACTTGGCCAGTTGAGACTGTAGATCGATGCAAGAACAGTTCCCCACCACTCTCAGCTTCAAAGGGCAGACCGGTGCTGTACATGTTGGAGCCACGACCTTTGTTGGAGCCACGGACACTCTGTGAGTTGGAACGACCACTCTGTGAGTTGGAACCAAGATCGGGGAGTCGTTTCGAATTCCGATATGTTGGCAGCCGTTACCGATAAGTTGGGAAATAAGCAGTCCGGACATGAAAGACAACAAAGCGATGATCGCGCGCTTACCGCTAGGTGACATGATTTCAACTGTAATATTGTGAAACACAGGTCTAATAACTACGCGGAATATGTGGACACAAAATAGTGCGAAACAAACCTTCAAAAAATCTTTGAGATGGAAAGTGCCGGCCACACAATAAGGACGAAAAAATTGAAAAAAAGATTTAATTGAACATTTTCAACATGTTCAACATTTCAGCGTTTGAAAGTGTTGTACTCGGAATTTCCTGGTGAAGAGGCCGAGTTTTACTTATATATCACTGCGCGTGCAGACGTGGTACAAGTAGGTACAGGTGGACCAACACGGAAACAAGAGGACTTTGTGTTTCTCTATCGGCTTTTTAGGCTGTTCAAATGTGAAAGGAAGAGATAAACATCAATTCTGTTGCCCGACACAGCCCTGGCCCGGCAGTTCCAACTGGACAGGATTCCAACATTTAGATCAGCAACCTAAGGCCGCCACCATATGCCATGCATCGAATGAATGAATGAACGTGGAACACTTGTCTTCGTCAGGGCACAGTTTTTTTTACCTTCGCTAAGGGAAAGGTTATGTTTTCAGTAGCGTTTGTGTGTGTGTGTGTGTGTGTGTGTGTGTGTGTGTGTGTGTGTGTGTGTGTGTGTGTGTGTGTGTGGTTTAGCATGGTAACTAAAGAAGCTTTAAATGGATCGTCATGAAACTTGGTAGGTGGGTAGGTCTTCATAAGACCTAGAAATGATTAGATTTTGGGCCCCCTAGCGGCTTTCCTAGGTACTGCAGCAGATATCTCGTGATCTATACATACTAGGGTCATGAATTTTTTGTTGGTAGATAATATCTCTTGGGCTAAGAAAGAAGTGACATGAGTTTGGGCCCCCTAACAGCTTGTTCTGGAACTGCAGGGCAGTTTGTCTTCGAGGGAGGATAACTCAAGAACTTGCTGATGGATTGTCATGATTTTCAGTACGTAGGTAGCCTAACTGATGCTTGACATATTTAGATGATAATTATGCAAATCAGGAGATACTTTGCATAACTAATGAGGAATTTCTATAAATCTGCTGTATTCAATGATAGGTCTATCGAACACTTGTGCCATATGTAATTGGGAATGTGAGTTACATCAGAATATATAGATTATGTAAATGAAGCCCTAATAATAGTGGTAACTACCAGGTAGTTCATACCGTCAAATTTACATTACTTCTTTCTTAGATACCTCGTCAGTTGATGTAATAACTAAATGTTCTATTTCCTCTAACCTACCAATAAACATAAATCTTCCTTTATAAGATTTAGATATACAAACACGTGAAAATCAACATCCACACTTAGCACCACAAAGCGTATTTATTGTGACTGAGAAATGCAACAAAAAGCAACAAAATATCGATCAACGGAAGCATTCTAGACAACACAGACTTATGAAAACAGTCACCGTGAACCGCTGAAGTTCAATATTGCAAACCAGAGGTGTGACTAGCTCACCATCTCAGTACAGCAAAGGCTGAACACTTTTGATTTTCTACATCTTATTCTTCACTGCACTGAACAAACCCTTCGTGAAAAAAAAGAAACTGTTGTAAGAAACTGTTGACGTTATCCCTCAAAGTTACACAAAACATGATGCATTTTGTACATGGCACTTACGAATAAAATTCTTCATTTGAAATGTTTCAATTAAATCAAAAGATATTGCACTTCATTTTATGATACGAAAATGTCAAATGAAAAACACACACAACAATTTCAACATTGGAATGTGATCAGTATGTACACACATATTCGAATATATATTCGTATGCACACACACACACACACACACACACACACACACACACACACACACACAAACACACACATAACAAACACACGTACACAATCATACACACGTACTTTATTTCGCGAGCAACACTCAATCCTAATTTGCAGTAATATTTTGGATACTAGTATACTAGCTCTGTCCTGACTTTTAACATATCTCAGATGAAATCTCACTATTAGTGTTACAGACTGCTATATAGTACCAAGGGCAATACCAACATCCGATTTGCAACTACGGGCAGTTTTTTTTGTACGTGTTCACATGTGTTCCCATCTGATGTGCCGTCACATGTTCATTTCAGAATTTTCTGAGCTGTCTGTCTTGAGCGGTTCGCTTGCATCAGTGGGCCTGGAAGGAGAGAAAACACGATGTTATCCCTGGAACTCCCTGAAATGGGGTAGTTACCATTTAGAGAAATGTAAAAAAAAGGTGTTCGAGAATTATTACAACTGCTGGGTTAGACCTAGTCTCCTTTGCAGGCGTTTCTGGTTCTGGTTCGTTTTTTTTGGTGTGTGAATTTAAAGCTCTTTCTTCAGAAAGACTTACAATTTACTTTGCATCTAGTTCTTTTTCTGTATTATTTGTTTGTCTTTTGTATTAGTTTTGTATTATTTTAATGATGTACTGTGTTTTATGTTTTTTTTACCTGAAATGAAGAATGAAT